GTCAGCGAATACGCGCGCACTCAACAAAACTGATGAGTTTGAACGATGACTCATCGGAACGCTTCTGATTGGCCATTGCATTCCTAAGCTCAACAGAATTGTGTGTGATTGGTTAAAATGTGCAACACTGTAAAAACGTCTAACTGTCTATTCATATTCACTTTGTTAGCAACAGACGTAATAGATTTAATTTGTTTGTGCAAGGGCATTTTTGTCCAATTTAGTGGCATTTTTGCCCCAAGTCCCCGTGGCCAGGGGAAGGCTCAGCTTTACACATGCTCCGCCTATGACTCTAGAATTAGTGTCTTGTTCAACATCACTAAGGTCACAGGGTTCTCTCAGTACTTCTCATCTTTTGACATTTAGTACCCATATAAGTGTGACGTCTGGGACCAGGACTGTAATTTATATGCAAATGTCAAAAGCTAAAAGGGTCTTCTTAAACCATAAAACCCCAAAAATCATGCATGATCCTACGCAGACGCTACACTGGCCATCACTGAAAGCACATGTGGACCAACTCTCAGGTGTTACATCTCCGTGTTTGCAACTATGGATGCTTGCATGTGTTTGAGTGTCACGCCACTGTACTTTTATCTGTGGTTTATTATTGCGTTGCCTCATACTTTGAAATAATATATCGAGTACCAGCAGCACAGAGAGTAGCTCATGACGTGAGAAGGAAAAAATCTGGCAGATATCAGTGAGGGCTTTTTCTTTAAGCCCCTTCAAAGACACAGTCATAGCAGAGGCCACGACAGACATATTCAAGAGCTGAGACCAAGGGAGAATACCAAGGAATAGCAATATGAGATATTAATGGCAGAAATATTGAATGAGACACAGAGAGAAGGAGACAATAATGAATGGATTGACACTGACAAAAATACAGTTTGAAGAATCATGTATTAGATAGGGACAGAGAGAAAAAGGACACTACATACCAAAAAAAAAAAAAAAAAAACTTGACAGGACTGATCTGCGTTTGATCCACTTTGCGCCACAAGAACCTGAAGTTAAGAAGTTCAAAAGTTGAATGTACATACTGTGACTCAACAACTGCATGATGCAATCGTGTTGTCCGTTCACTGGGTACCCATGCAGGTATGCATACATGAAAACATGAATATACCGAAACTAATAACTCTTTCCATCAAAGTGATGATGTTACCAACAGTTTAACTTGTATCCTCTTAAGAGTGATGGGACACAGTAACTGTGTTACAAAGCCTAATGAGCTGTCTACTGCCTACATATGCATCTGAGTGCCAGGAAGTGCACAAAAGCCTTGACACACTGTTGATTTGAATCTTTTTCACAAAATGTAGACACCTTTCTGCAATAATTAGCTTTGTAAAGTAAGTTTTTACTATATATTTCAGTTTTTTTTTTCAAAGGCCATAGTTTATATGTATAAAATTATAGTTTCTGAGGGAGTGACTGACAATTTAGCGTCTCTCTCTCTTATAACTGCCATAATCCTTCTCTCTGCAATTGGAAACTTTTTTGGAAAGTTGCAAGAATGTGAATACTTTCGTTTTTCTTTCCCTGTTGGAGCAACTATGCATAGTATTCACTGCAGTCTCCAACTGAAATGATCACTGACTGTAAAACACCAACAACTTTTATTGATTTTCACACAAATTATGATTATAGGGGCAGATTATTACAAACTAATACACTGTGACATTTGCACCACATAGCTCCATATGTCTTTTCTGACATATACAACTTGCTTGATAATTCATTTGGTACAGCATCCCATGTAATAAGACTCACGTTAAAAGAGCTCAAACTCTTTGAAGCAAGCTAAAATAAAAATTTAGCATCTCTCACTTGACATTTCATTTCTGAATTGCCACAACCAGCATAAGAAAATGTTGTCAAATTTACTTTCATCTGTTTCAAATAAAACAGATTAGACATTTCGGAGCCACTTTATATTAAGTGTATTAACTACTATATACTTAACATTTAAATGAATAATTTGATACAATGTACATGTTGCGTACATACATGTTTTTAAATTGTACTTATATTTGAAAATACTGTCCTGTAATTAAATCTGTAATTCATTTCTGTAGTTACATTTATAATTACACTGTTGACCATATCTAGACCTCTTTTACCTAACCAGACCACCCATAGGCACCACTTTCTTTTTCTTGTTCTTGTTATTTTTCAAACTCACAACAAACAATTAATCCTGCTCATGATCTTAAGATACAATGATTTGTAGATAACTTATTGACAGCTTCTGTAAATATTGTATTCTGTAAATATTGCACGCATGCTCACTTAAGATTGACGTGACAGTCAATGTGTTTTCAGTTCTTCAGTTACAGAAACGGAGCTAGACACAATAAATTCACAAGAAACATACTGACATCTTCAACAGGCGGCCTAATAAAAATATTATGAATGCTCAGCGTGTTCACCTACACTCTTAAGATAAATGGTTCTAAACAGTACCAGAAAAGGGTTCTTAGGCTTGTAACAATAGCAGAACCCTTTTTAGTGCTAAATATAACCTTTTTTTATAGGGTTCCATATAGAACCATGCTTTGGAAATGCTATATAGGACCTTATTGGTGTTATAAATAACCTTTTTAATGATAGTTTGTCATTAATATTAGTGTTAATATCATTAATATTAGTATTATTTGTATACATTATTTATTAATATTGTTTTTTACCCTTCTATCTGCCTGGTCTTATAATATTTTGAAGTGTCTATTAGGGTTTTACATAAAATCAACAACAACAACAACAATGTGTCAATTAGGTACTTTTATTTTTTTTTTATGACGTAAAATTGTAGCAAAAATGACAGTGTTCTAACAACAGTTAATAGCAGAATACATTAATAAATGACAATGGACATTGAACATAAATAAATGCTTAAAGAAATAAAACAAAATAGAACATACAATAGTGTATTAAAGACCAAGCTCCAGTGAAATGTATTCACAATCCTCTATGGTGCCATTAAGTTAATCATTGTCTGTATTTTGGTGTGATTGAATGTCAGTTTCTCTCTGTAGATGATGAGGTTGTAGGATGTGACATCATCTGAAAAACACAATTGAGTTTAGATATACAATGTGTCTCCTTTCATTTGTTTATGTGAAAACAATTGCTTATGAAGGCCAAAAGTATGTGAGCACTTCACAATGTTAAAAGGAAAAAGTAATATAAAGTCAAGGG